GGCGACGCTCCAGTCGCCGGAGCTGCGGCGGAAGCTGAGCAGCGCGAATCGATCAACGGAGCCGTCGAGCTGCACGACGGCGACGACCTCCGCGAGCGGCTCCGCGGCGACGTCGCGCGCGGCGGGGCGCCGCGGCCCTGCCGCAACTTCCGCCGCGACCTGAGCGGGCGGAGCTACGACTCGTGCGTCTGCGGCTGGGCCCAGGGCGACCACGGCGCCAAGGAGCCGACGCGCGGCGCGTCGTCGGAGCTGCGGGACGCGCTCCGGGGCACGAGCCGCCGGTCCTTCGACGAGGCCAACGACTGCTTCGTCTCCGTGAAGATCCCCGCCGACGCGCCGGCCCACGGCGACGACAGCGACGACGACGCGGAGGCCGCCTTCTTCTGCGGCGGGCCCGCGGCCGGGTCCTTCGCCTGCAGCGGGTTCTCCTTCCTGAGCTAGGGCGTCTGTGTGTCTCGGGGCCGGGGGCTCGCTCCGCGCGCGCGCGCGAGGGTCGCGCGGCGGCGGCGGCGCCGGCAGGCCTGCCGGCGCCCGGGCGGCGTTGAAGCCCGAGGGGGTTGACCGCCGGTATGCCTGGTAGTATGCGCCTACTATGCGGGTTTTATGCGGGTTTTATGCGGGTGGTATGCGGGTTTTATGCGGGTTTTATGCGGGTGGTATGCGGCTGCTATGCTGGTCGTATGCGGGTGGTATGCGGGTGGTATGCGGGTGGTATGCGGGTGGTATGCGGGTGGTATGCGGGTGGTATGCGGGTGGTATGCGGGTGGTATGCGGCTGCTATGCTGGTGTATGCCCGGCTGGTGTATGCCTGGTGGTCGGCCCCCTCTGGTTGAAGCCTCGTCACTGCCGGCTAAGCTAAAGTTAACCGGTTCAAAGAGCAGCGAAGCCGTGCAGTTTTGACGTCACGGCTTTGCCTCGCTCCGGGCTCGGACGCGCGATGCAGCGGTTCCAGGACTTGGCGCGGCGCTCGGTCTGTGGACCATGTCGCGCCTGGGCCCGGCTGCGAGTCGCTCGGGAAAGACCATCGGTCGAAGGCGAGCAACTTAGTTCGCGTCGGGGCAGCCCGTGGATGACGAGAACGGCCGTTAACGGTGGGGGGCGACCGACGAGGGGCCCAACTTAGTTCCAGGGGGCGTTTGGTGTGACCAACTTCGAAGAAACACCCCCTGGGATGTCTCTCCCGAGGGGACTGTCCGGGTGTGGTCACACCAAACGCCTCATGCATTGCGCGGTGAGCACCGTGTCACCCGCGGCGCCGCACGCCTCCCGGAGGCGGTGAGGTGATCTCGATCAAATCCACTCGAGCCGAAGAGCTGCCGCGAGGGCATCTGGTCGCCCCCATGACGAACGATTCCCGACGCTCTGTGACTCGAAGGGGACCGAAAATCGGGTCGGGGGAAGCTGCCGCGCCTCATTCCACCCCCTGGGGCTGCCCGTTTGCGTCGCCTCGCAATCGTCCGGATGTCGCGTCTTTTCATGTGCCTCACCCACATGTTTGCGGACCTCAAAGCCACTGGGATCGTTGCACGTCGCTGCATATTCGAGGAGCGCGGGGCCCTCTAAGGTGGAGATTCCACCATCGGCCGCTGAAATGCTCGCACGAGAGACCGTCTCTTAGCTACGGATTACTGCAGCATTGCTTCATAGATGTGCTTGTTCAACGACGGCTCATTCGCAGCCGTAGCCGGTGGTGTTGGAAACCGTAGCGCCGCCACGAAAAACGCCCGTCGTCTTCCACGGGGGCAGCCTCGTTCGAGATGGCCGACGAGTCCGCCGACGCGGCGCCGCC